TGCACAATCACTTGGACGTTTGAAATGACATTTGTCTTTTAGAGTTAGACTCGACAGCTTCAGGCCAGGGTAATGGTGAGGGTAATCTGACCCTCTTTAGAATAGCTGAAATGGGAGTATAGAACAGGGATCGACCATTTCACACTCTCTATCCCATTGCATCGCTCTTCCACCTTTTATACTTGCTAAATACCCCTCAATTCTTCAAAGTGGTGTTTGGAGGTTTAAGCACCCATGGAAATGGCCGAGCACCCACAGAAAAACACCATATTCTCCAGTCATTGTCAAACCCTCTTGCATAAGTGTAAATGACAACAACACAAATACACAAAATACCTAATTGTTTGCCCCCAGTCTACATGTGGTAATATACATGGTTATAGCTGCTAGTTACATTAGCAGCCCCTGCCCAGAGCTTTTGCTGTATATAGTTACAGGATAGTGCTCTAATGGACTCTGTCCATTGAGAAGGTATCGTAGAGATGAGCTAGAGATAATGGATGGGATAGAATCACAAATGAAGTGTGTGCATGTTATGCTTCATTTGCCCCTGTTTGTATTCAGGTGTAGCTTCTGTTTCACATTTGAAGTGAGTGGCCCATTTGCAGATGAACATAGGGTCAGGCGATATAGTGGTAGACGCAATCAACCGGTAGAGATTTTTGCACTATCGTCTCTATCGTGGTCGTGCTCGTGTGATGTTGCCGTGCTGTGCAGTCATGAAAGCTTATCACTTGAATGCGTTTTCATGCTTTGTGATTTTAAACCATTCAAGTGCAATGAGTGTTGAAAGAGGACTTCTAACTGTATCCGTGTGCTGTCTTAGAGACGGTTTCTGAGACAGCTGAAATGCGCGCACATGAAGCTGCTGCTCAAACAGTGAGGACTGAACAGTTAAGTCACTTTATTGGTCTTGAATGGTCGAATACTCAGTTATGTGTCAACAATGCCTTCTTTGCGACCTTGTAAACAGTCGTTTATGCATTAAGTAAACAACAAAAGTTGAGAACACCCACCCCCCAATATTTGACTCGACCTGAAGGAAAGACGCAGGTAATCGCACACACTAAGTCAATCTCTCTCTCTCATTCACTGTTTATTCATATGTCTGTATGTACAAATCACCATGATAAACACAGCTTGTTATCATTATTAACTTATTTAACATTTAATACACATGCATAATGTGTAAAACAAGAAGGCATAACCTTATGAAAAAAACTGCAAATATCGCAGTTGCTTGCATTCCTCTACTAATGCCTGTTAGTACTGGAACTGTTATGTAGAGTTAAATTATTGTAGTTGGGTTATGTTTTACTGTGAGTATGTACATTTGTTGTGTTTTAATATATTGTTCAATTTAAAGATTTTTTTAAATAAAAAAAGCCATTCTTTAAAGCTGCGGTCTGGCGTTTTTCACTGTTGCCATCTCTGTTTGAAATCTGCAATTGCAGTCATTCGCAGAACTATCAACTTTACGCGAGTTGTACTTAAACACCCTCGACTCGATACAGCGTGGATGAACACAATGTTTGAGGAGACTGAGTGTTTGTGGATACTGGTGTTTGTGGATACTGGCTTTCAGAATCACATATTGTTCTTTTTGGAAGTATGACCAACATAAGAATTTTCACCAGAAAATGTCATCTGAACTAATAAGAAACATACACTTTTGTTCGGGTTCTGACATTGCAGTAAACCGCGCTGATTAAATCTAACAATCGCTTACAAGTTTTCATACCACGCAAAACCGTGCAAATTATACTTTGTTCTCAAATTGTTCATGTTAGCAATGGAAGCAAGCATAGTAATGTTTTTCCGATATCTATTCTTGTTTTCGCACGGGTCCTGTAGTCTTTTAGTTTTTTCTGTAGTCACTCTGAAGTCCGAATGAAGTCTTTTGCATTTTACAGCGGGTGAATCTGTTTTTACTGGTGATTGTCGTTTGAACCTTTCTGGTTCCGCCATCAAATGGGCTCTATGCACGGCGGTATTTCCGGTGAAGCATTAGGGATGCTCGATAACTTCCGCCGATCGTAGAGTCCAATGCAATACCGAGAATTTATATTGAATTTTATACTCCATGGTTATACTAACGAAACGTTAGTCACAAAAACAGATAAAACAGACACCCCTCGTTGTGTTTATGCTTCTTTTTAAAATTATATTAAGTAAACATAACTATATATAAAATTACATCTAAACGTATGTACGTTTCGTTTCAATGACGGGAGGACAGTAAATTTTGAAGACTCTGCCATAATCCCGTTTTCTTCGGTTCTCCTCCGCTTAAATCTCCACAACCGGAAATGGACGAGCATCCTTGCGTCAAATGCGGAACTTATGCGTGCATATAGCCCATTAATAAGTTTCATTATGTCAAGTGCTGTGAGAAAAGGCTATAAATCTCCGTCTCCAGCATCCTCACATGCAATATAGTCTACTAGCCGAGACTCCTTCTTTATGTGGACAGATGTGACGTAATGACACAAAGACATGCTCAAATCTCCCTCGGAAATCCACCAGTACCGTTGGATTTAAAAACATTATTACAAGCTTACCACTTTGAAACGAGCTGAGGCAAGCAGATAGTTTTGAACACTGGCTGGTTATGTATTTTCTCAAATAGCCTATGTATTTTTTTGGATCATTTTTAACCCCAAAAAAGCTACAGACTGCAGCTTTAATGTAATCCAAAGCTGTTTTGTGACTTTTTTTTAAGTATTGTTTGAGGCACCGGTACTGGTTAAAAACGATCAATTTGGCACCGGTATCATAAGAAACCAAAACGATACCCAACCCTAAATAAGGCTGTGGATGACCTGCTGTCAGTGCATGCTGCTCTTTACAATGTTCTTGTGTGTAAAGGCCATTCGTTTAGGCAGACTTAGTGAGGGCAAAAGCCATTTTTCATACAAAACTACTGTTTTGTTTGATAGTAGTGTGTGTGTGTGTGTTTTTTGTTGATCTATTTTCCACTGGAAACTTGTTTTGCATTCCAGCTGTAGTGTAGAGGAGCCCCGGTGTTTACTCTACCTGGAGCTCAAGGCCTGCATGGAAATATCATGTCTGAGTCTTCATTTAGATGGTAACACTGGGTAGAATCTCTGCCTTGCCCTCAGCCCTTTTGTTTACAAGTACTTGTTCTGCGTTGATTGCAGATTTGTACCATTAACAAAACATCTTGCTGTCAGCATATGATCTGGGCCTGTGGGGGCAATGTGGAGCACATGGTGTGTTTGTTTCCAGAGATTAACTGTAATCATCTTGTTTGCTACAGTTTGCATTCAATGATTTATTTTTTAAATTATTTTACTGGTTTGTCACCCTGGATCTATTCTTTTACTCAAAAATATATAAGATGCAGATCATAGTCACGGACTTCTGACAGTTTATTAAATTCAGAAGATGACCACAAATTTTTTTTTTATGTTTTCCATTTTTTAATTAGAATGAATACTTTGTGATTGTAATGAAGGAAAAAAACATTAGTTATTAGTTAATTTAATTCAATGAATGACTTGTTAATTCTTCACAATTTAATAGTGACTAACAGATGATGCATTTATAACAGGGTTTCCACAGGTCCTTGAAAGTTTGTGAATCTGAAAGTTTTTGAAAATAAGCATGCATAGATACAGGTCCTTGAATTAATTTTGTGCAAGAAGTTTTCTGGGAAAAAAAAAATCCATATTCCCCCTGGTCCTAACCTAACCCTAACCCTGGTTTCACCAATACTTCAAGGCCTATGTATTCTAGCTTGCTTGATTTGCGTTACGTGGATTTACTTGTTACGTTAAGTGTTTCCTGCGTGAGGTACTTTGTGTTGTACGTTGCCATGACGTTCAAGCGCACAAAACTGCTACGAAGGTACCTCAACTTTGTTGTTGGACACAACAAACGTGTCCCCACTTTAAGTCCTTGAATTTGAGGGTATTGGACCTGCAAAGTTAACCAAGGTGTGGGAACCCTGAACAACATGCAAGGAGACATTTTTAATATGTGAAAAGATGTTTAACAGACGTTTTTTCTGTGAAATCATGTAAGACATTTTTTTTTCTTGCCTAAGACATGGCAAGATGTTTTTCCTTGTACCAAATTGGTGATAAATTAGAAAAAGCACCTTTACCACAGAGCAGGAATCCCTGCAGGTGTTTCAGTCACACCGTACATGAGGCAGGACTAGGCAAAACCCTTTTCACATGCGTGACCCGTCACATCTGCCCTTTCAAATGATAATGTAGCAACACTGAAACAAAAGGCAAATGGTCTTTGATTTTAAAGGCGTTCATTTTTTGTAAGTCCATCCTTGTATTTAACAGCTCTATGATTAACAGATGTGAGACTGTCTGATGATGAACATCATTTATTGTGGCTATAATGGTAAGGGTTTTAATAAGCGGTCTCATGAGCACAGCATTGTGGAATTTAATGTTTTGCTTATGTTAACGCTAGTTGAATCTACAGGGCATGTTTTGACGAAGATGAGGGATCAAAGGTCACACGAGATGGTCAGAGCCTTGTCACACTGGAACGCTGATATGGGGCCACTGTCTGGGCCTTAATGTCAGTTTCAAGAGCAGGAAGGTCCGATTGTTTTAATCAGCCTCATTCTAAGCATGTGTGCATGTGCTGGGGTATTTTGGGTAGTGGTGATAGGCGATACTTAGTGGTGTATATGTGGCTCTACACTATGATCCTCTTTATAGCAGTTAAGACTGGCGATATTGGATTTGCTGTAATGTGCCACGTTCTCACTCTCTCTCTCTGTTCAAAGACATTAAAGGGTCCATAAATCTGCATTTCTATGCATTTGTGGTTTTGTCATTGCTGTTTATGAGCAGCTTGTGTAATTGTGGAGTGTTTTGTTTAAGTTGCCGGCTGTCGTAGAAGTGCCATGCTGTAAAGACTCTTTGTCTGGTCGACATGAATAAAGGCAGCGGCAAGAGGAGGAGCTGTGTAATCTGACACAGCTGGGCTCATGAACCGGTCCCACTCCTCGTCCTCAGAGAGAAAGAGAGCATGCTGACTTCAGACTGACATTCGAGTCAACCCACAGGCAACAGTGGTGACCGTGCAGGCGGGACTCTCCTTCTTTCTGTGGTTATTCTGAGAGTTCGCTCTTCTGTGCAACAGCATGTTTCTTCCTTCCCCGTCTTCACTTGACGAGCTGACGGGGTATTCTGAAAGTCATGGGAGTGGTCTTTCTCAAACGAGTCCTGGAATGTGCTTTTAAAGGGAGGAAATCCCTATCAACTCGTCTCCTTAACCCTGTTTTTAGTTTTTTCCCTCTTCCCTGGGATTGCTGCTTAAGTCTCCTTCCAGACGCTGGAAACTGGATCTACTTGTGTAACATTCTTAGATTACAGCAAATCCTTTTTTCTCCCCCACTTCTTGTACTTTCTTTGTACTCATCCTGTGCTATTCTTTACTGAAAAGCAAATCTTTTTAAAAAGGAAATCTCCTGCTCTCCACTTTAAGGAACGGCTGCTGGAATTGCGCAAATTGTACGAGTGTGTTGGTGTTCGGGACTCAACCTTTCCTGGTGGTGGGGATACCTTACAGTGGCCCTAGGCGACCTGTTGGAGCTGTGTTTCTTGCTGTGTCATTAGAATAAGACTGTACGAAAACGAGTGAAACAGGAAAAAGGAACTCTTTCTTTAAAAGGTCTTATGGGACTTTTTGTTTTTATGTAAAGAGCATGATGAAGAGTCAATCTGCTCCCCATGTCTGCTACGGTTAGACTACAGCCTGTGTACTCATGGAAGGGGGTGCTCAAGCTCTTCTCTTGCATAGCTGCCCGAACTGCTAGTAAACCTAAAGGTAACCATAATATGCTCTCATTGTTTACTACCACCACTAACTCACCTGTAAGAGGCAGGCCATTTCATTTGTTTCTCAATCACAGTGTTAAAGTTAGCCAAAGACTGTTTTGTCCATACAATGAAAGTCAAAGGAGTTTAAAACAACATTGATTTTCATATAGTTTGTACCAAAAAACACAGATACCTTAGGACACAAACCTTGTTTTCTTTGGGCTTCTGGTTACATTCCTATTCTTTCTACTGTAGACGAAGGAAGAGCTCTTTTCTCTGTTATAAAATGCTGAAAACCCTCCCATCCTTGATTTTTGTTTTCTTTGTCTATGTGTTTGTTGTCAGTTTGAGTCTATGGCATGCAAGGGTAACTTAAGTGGAGCTGACATACTGTGTGCATTGTTCCTGCGTCTTCAACTCAGCCGTGCTTTTCTGTTCACTAGTTATTGTAGTAGTGCATGGGCTACTAGGATTATACATGCATGTGTTCGGAATTGGTGTGTTGAACACTAAAGGGGGACGCTACAGTGAGGGCATGCTGTGACTCGTCTGCCTGCTCAGGGAACTGTGACTCACAGACAGGAGGATCATGTGTTTTTGTGGCTTGTACATATCAAGAGACTACCGAAGTGTTCCAGTATTTTAAAAATATACATATATAGCCTAAATAATCCTAAAGAATATATTGCATTGTATTATCAATCTCAACTTTTCGATTTTATTTTGCAATTTTGAGACACAAGGAAAGCCTGTCTAGTAACTGAATAGCTAGAATTATTAAATTAATTAAATGTATTTTTTGAAAAAAGACAGAATTATATTTATTGGATCTCAATCATGACACTTTTATAAATGTCATTTATTGAGAAATATTTACTCAATGTCTCTTTTTTTTCTTCTTTTTTTTCATTTGAATGAATTGTTCGTTATAACTAGTGGCTAGTTACATCATCTAAAAGTATACACTTTCGCTTACTGGAATCCCCTAAGAAATAGATATAAATGTTACCACATTTCTCCAAAAAATATGCATGTCCATTTACCCACAATACAATTATATTTCTTTACCGCATCTCACATTTTCTATTTTATTATTTCATGCCAAAGATTTTTGCTGGTGGCTAAATGACTGCATTAGTTTTATGACCGAATTGGTCCTGAGATTCAGAACGGTCACTATGTGACTTGTGAAAGGCTTCATAAACTTGTTCTCATACTAGCAGCTGAGTCAATTACAAATGTTGATATCAAAACAAAATTGAGTTCAGCTTTTAAGTCCCTGTTGGCTTTTGGTCATGCGGATCCATGCCATTGACCATCTGCCAGATTTGGACTTCTACACCTCCTAATCTGCTGAATAATTTCACCAGATACTTTAATGCATATTGATCGTCCTTCCATTCTGAATTGCTTCTGATGAAATATTGAAGTGTGGCTTAATGTGGAGAAATCAATCTGAAGCCCAACCGGTATTGTGCTCTGCATTAGTCCTGCCCACCATGAGTATCTGATTTAACAGGCCTCACATTACAAAAGATAAAAACGGATAAAGTTGTATTTTCGGCTGGGCAATATGGTCTGAGTTTTTTTTTTTCTCTCTTTTTTTTTTTCTTGCCTGAATGGAGAAACTGTATTTTTGACTTTTTCTATTTGGATTAAAGCACTTTTTTTCTTTCTTTTTTTTTTTTGTTTCTTTTTTATTATTATTGTTTCGCATCCTGCACAATTTTGTCTTACAATGTTAATGTTGAAGGCTATGAAAACAAATGGTTAAATGTAAGTAACCATGCATGCTATATGTGCAAAAAAGAGTTAAAACAAAAAAGCAGACGTTAAAATTGCTACATCAAAAATTTTAAACAAAACAAAAGCACAGGATAATTGTTAAATTAGCTACATTTGATTACCCCATTACAATAGTCAATTTACAGTTACTGCTGTAATAAATATTTTTGCAAAATGTAGTTTTGTGGAGAATTGCTTGCAGAAGGCCCGTCCACTCCTGACATTAAAATGGAAATATTTGCATGACTTCAACTTTTACAGATGGAGAAAACATGGAAATGTAAGTTATGGAAATGTAAACGTAAGTTTTGTAAGTTACAGAGGAAAAACGCCACATCTTAAATGCAATAAACAGTACAAATATCTGTCAGAGTATCTGACGGGGCAAGCTGCATTGAACTACATGCGTTAACTATATCTTACGAGTTATTTTGAATGATATAAAGCATATCTCATGTTTAGGACAGTTTGGATTTTGCACTTTCCCGCTGCTGCTCACTCTGTTTTCAGATGTGCTTGTAATACTAACGTATATTGATATAAATTGTATTGCCTCATTCTGTATTGTTTATTATAATATTGATATATCGTACAAACTCGGTATATTGCCCAGTCCTATAGTTGAATTCTTAGGGGTACTAAAAGGAGGTCGGTTAGACGGGTATGTCTGTTTCTATCAACATCACGTATGAAGAAATATCTGTTTGACTTGTTTTGAACTTGTATTGTTCCCGGTTTCATTGACTCTTCTGTTGTTATTATACTGTATTGTACAGTTGCCATAGAAAAAACAAAGGTGTTGGTGTATAGAAAGTAATTCTGGTCAAAGGATGCTTTGTTGATAAGAAGGATTTGGAAGACTTAGTTTAGTTGGCGAGGGAGCTTAATGACACTTTAACAGCACGAAAACACCTTTTTTGTTACACAATGAACAAGTTAACTTGCCTTGCTGGACTGACTACCGGTGAGACTTGATTTTTAACCGCCTTTATTCTTTCAGTTGTAAAATAAACCAGGAAAGCAGTTGGAAAACAGACAATGGAAAAAGTCTAGATCTATCTATGCATTTTACAAAACTAACAAAACCTCTCTATCTCTTTCCAGAGGTCCACACATTTCAAGGAAAAAAGAAAGACTTACTTGGGAATCATATGGACGAAGGCAAGTATTCAGTTTTATGTTTTCAAAATACAATAACAGTAAACAGAACTCTCACACTGTTTGGGTAAGCCAGGCAGAATCATCTGCCAATGTGAAGGCTTTTGGAAATGTTTGTTGAAACTTGCAACGGGTTTGGGTATTTTTTTGGCTGCGACGCTTCAGTTCATGTTCAGCTGATGTTTACTTCAGCTTGAGTTCATGGGGGTGGCTTCTTAGTGGAAAGAATGGAGAAGTGGCAGAGAAGAGATAAATGATAAGGGTTTGAGCCTGTATTCACTCACAGTCCCCATCTGGAGAGCTGGTCAGATCTGTTCCACCAAACTCCCATTCCCTCTGAGATGTTACCACAGGCAGAACCATTAGACATTGCAGAGTGACCCATCTCTACCAAAATGATCCCTTGTGGGCCACATCACACTACCATCTCCTTGGCCTTAATCTTTTCATCCACCAGAGCCCTGAATACTGAACCTCTTGTCTGTGCCTTCCATCAAATCTAGAAGGGCTTCTTCCAGAGAACTGTGTTCCAGAATGCTGTTTACAAACTAAACTTGACCAAAAGCAGTTCATTTTATTGGAACGTATCCCAGAATATATCCCACAATCCCCTTCTCTGCAATCATACATGTGTACTGTACAAGCTTGTTTCCATAGCACACATAAGCCTCATAGAGAAAGTGAAAGAGGTAGTCAAACTTTAATCATAAATTTAAATAGCCCACAAAGGTTGTATTATCCATTTTGAGAACTGACTTAAGATCTCAGGAATAAAACTAATTCCCATTACAGAATGTTGCAGACCATTAACCACATTACTGCAGCAAGCCTAAATCCAATGGTAACACCTATTGAGTGTACAACAAAGCTCTTGACCACAAACATCTCCATGCAGTCTGGCATCAGACCACATAATTTACTGTACCTGATAAAACTGCAAGACTCCAAGAATTGGCTAATATTTTTATGCATTCAAGTACACTGTTAATTAGCACTACCATCAATTTATGCAGCTGTAAATGCATATTATTACGCAGCTCGCTTTACAAAGTGTTGCATTCATAGTAAGAAACTTTATGCAAGTGTTTAATGTAGATGTTTGTAGCAGAGGTTAGTTACGCAAGTGCCATTTGAAAATGACTTTGTTTGATGTTAACATCTGGCAATATATTAGCTTACAAATATCGTGTTATCATGTTTGGACCAATTTCAGTTACATTTTAATAGAAATCTTAGATGCAAAACTTTAATCAAAATAGGTTTTTCCCCCCATATTTTTTACAAAATTGTGATAAGCTTTATTCAAATATTTTAAGATGATTTTAGGCTAGAGGTCTCTCTTTAGAGTTCTCATTTTATCTATGCAAAACTTTGAAAGGTGAGATGCACACTTATATAATATGCGTTTACAGCTTCACAGATGGTCCTTGTGATCAAAAGCTTTGTTCACTCAGTAGGTCTTAGTATTGGGTCTGCTTAAACTGCATGGCATTCTTTAGTCAAAGGTTACAGAAACACAGTGGATTCAAGTATGCAAATGAAAATTCAATGGCCAAAGCTTTGCAAGCAAGTAGTGCCACTGTACATAATACAGGTTTTTAGGTGGAAATGCTTTCGATTGTCTGTGCCATTAAACCGGATGTGTTTAAGTGGCTAGCTATAAACTTGGTGTTGCCCTTTTGAGCTTTTTGCTCAGTGTATTTTAGTCCTTGGACTTGTCCAACTGCCTGGCTTGGACTCAGCACAGCACTAATGGTGATGTTACCCTCAGCATTAATGTTGTTTTTGCTGAGGCTCCATTAATCTGATGTATTAAATTTACCTGGCTTAACTGTCTACCTGAGACACAAAATAACAGTCTGGGACATTGTGCCATTTTTAAACTCCAGCTTGTGCAGCATTGCCTTTTGTTCTTCCTAACTCCATTAGAAGACCTGACAACAAGTCAGCTCTAACCGCTTCCTCTGGGGTTACAGGATTTCCTGTTATATGTGATGGACTGCAAACTTTCCACTGACATAGCAGCTCAGCACTGCTGGAGAAAAGAGACACACCACAGATCTTTTGATTCCCAGACGAAGAACTTCACAAATAGAAAATTCAGCAATGCCACAAGGGCTCTTACTACTATTTGCTTTCTTCCAGAGTTTTAAACAAATTCGCTGTGAAGTCGACTTTTTTTTTTTTAACCCAAGTCTACTATATTTATGTGCCATATAATTTTTCTACAGCGCTTTCTAGACTCACTAAAAATGTGAAGGGAATATACTCTTGGCACAGTGGACTAAAAAGTGAAACAAATTGCAAGCCATCACGATTTCCATTATAGCTTGCCTAAACAGTAACCCATACTGGACATAAAGCCTTTTTAACATCGCATTGATTTAATGATTAATTGACACTTCCTCTTGCTCATTACTTTGAAGATTATTTAAGATTATTTAGACTATTCATGAGTTGAAGAACATGATGTTTAAACATGCTTCGAAGGAATGCCCCATCCTAAATTTTTAGCTTTGGCAGAAGCAGGATATTTTGCCTGCCAACCACAACTTACAAAAGTCAATGTCCATAAATAATCTTTTCTCACAAGTCAAGCACTATCTGTCAAACTATTCCCTTTCAATTAATTTTCACTTTTTTTCTCCTAGTGAGACTCATGCACCACTTCAGCTGTTGTTAAAACCTCAGCTTAATGGAGCAGCACTGTTGTAACAGTAGTGTACGACAGCCATCAGCTGCTCTGACTGTTTCGTGGTGGGAGGTTGGCTACTGTCTCTTTGGCTTAACTTCAAGCAGACAGGCTGTCTTTGCTTCTCTCATTGTATCGGACATCTGCTCTGGATATGGACACACATCTCAACAAAAGCCAAGTCTGTCCAGTCGTGCTCCTGGAGGGCCAACATCCTGCAGAGTTTAGCTTCAACCTGAACCAATACAGCTGTGTGAAGTTTCTACTAATCCTGAAGGCCTTGACTAGCTGGTTTAGAGTGGTCCTCCGGGACCAGGATGGGACACACCTGAAACAAGTTAACAGGTCACCTGTAAATTGTTTCTTTAAAATGTGTACAGTTATTAGGGGCTCGTCAGGGATTTGATCGCACACCTCCTGCACTCAAGCGAGAATCATGGGTTAATTCAGAGATGCACAACATGACTTGTGACTTGTCCAAGTTAGACAGTGTTCCTGATGTTCAAACAGTGCAGTATTGTGCTAGACTATTAACACCAAGATTTTGTGTTAGATTCGAGTTCTGACACCTTTTGCCTTGGATGCAAACATCTGTCAAATTATATCGTAAAACAGGTCCTAGAACAACAATAAATGATACAAGAACAATAGTTTAGCCCTTCTAAAATCTGAGATTTCTGATTGGATGTTGATCCAGGAAGATGTGTAAATCATGTTAGGAAGCCATATGATTTGCAATGATACACATGGAAACAAACGTTTATCAGTTTGTTGGCATTTCCTTAGTCATCCTTTAGTCTTTGACTGCAAGCCTAGAAAGACATTGAGGCCATGGTGTTAGCTGTTGTGCTTGGACTAATTTTGGCCTCAGTTGTTATGCTCTGAGAGCTACTCAGAGGGGGCTGAAAGTACTTGGCTTTATCAGAGGAGATGTTTACTAGCAGATTCTAAGCCACCTACATACACGCACAGCTCGCCGTTTATCCATACCCCCACCCTCCTTTCTGGCACTGTCCTTATTTCTCCACATGAGACGATTTACTATGCTCTGGTCCTGCCACAGTCCTGCCTTTGTTCTGTAGTCTCTTTATTTCTCACTTAATTGATGTCCGTGTTAAATCTGCAATCAGTCTTTTTCATTTGCTCCCTGGTGCTGATTTACAGTTGCTCTTGTGCTTCCTATTAACTGATGTGTAGAAGTAGTATATATAGCGGTAGGGTGTTACAGTTGGGTCACACCATTCCTTTTCTCATGAATTAGGCAAGAATCCATCTCAAGTCCTATACTTCTCTGCACAGGTTGTCCCATACACATTCACACTTCTCACAGCAGCTTGTTGCCATAGGAACACTCTTCCAGCAGACATGCGCTCTGGTTTTCTGAGTCCACTCTCCATGTCTGGCTTAAAAAAAAAGGGTGAGGCGTGAAGATCTGTGCATTTTACTCATGCCAGAAATAGCTGCCCTGAGTTTTCCCTAGAGGCCCTTGTCTGACTTATCGGTGGCACTAGACGGCTATATCTCTGAGCCACTCAGGGAGAACAGGCATTGCCTGGCTCACAGCACTGTTGAGTCTTTTTCATCTCTCTTTGCAGTTCATACTAGTTAAATCAGCAGAAACGTGTACATTTTTACCCTGAGGCTACATTCTAAAATGTCTACTTTATTTTCGGAAGCAGAAGTGCTCAGATCAGTACATTAGATGCCAGCTGATCTCTGCTGTCATGCATAATGCATTTGCTTAGCTGGTTGTGGATGTTCCTTGTAAATGTGTGAACCTCCATTTCTTTATGGTTGTCTATTAGCCAAACAAACTCTTTTCTTTATCTCCTTTTCTTTAGAAATGAGTCGCCAGACTGCCACAGCGCTGCCCACAGGAACCTCCAAGTGTCCCCCTTCTCAGCGCGTCCCAACCTTGTCAGGCACCACCGCATCCAACAGTGACCTCGCCAGCCTATTTGAGTGTCCTGTCTGTTTTGACTATGTGCTGCCGCCCATCCTGCAGTGCCAGAGTGGCCATTTGGTTTGTAGCAACTGTCGGCCCAAACTCACCTGCTGCCCCACCTGCAGAGGCCCACTTGGGTCAATCCGCAATTTGGCCATGGAGAAAGTGGCCAACTCGGTTCTTTTCCCCTGCAAGTATGCCTCATCAGGCTGCGAAGTTACTCTACCGCATACAGACAAGGCTGAACACGAGGAGCTTTGTGAATTCCGGCCATACTCTTGCCCTTGTCCTGGCGCATCCTGCAAGTGGCAGGGATCTCTCGATGCCGTCATGCCTCACTTGCTGCACCAGCACAAGTCCATAACCACGCTACAAGGTGAGGATATTGTCTTCCTGGCCACAGACATCAACTTGCCTGGGGCAGTGGACTGGGTCATGATGCAGTCGTGCTTCGGCTTCCATTTTATGCTCGTGCTGGAGAAGCAGGAGAAATATGACGGCCACCAGCAGTTCTTTGCCATCGTGCAGCTGATCGGCACACGGAAACAAGCGGAAAACTTCGCCTACCGGTTGGAGTTGAACGGCCACCGGCGGCGACTCACCTGGGAGGCGACGCCACGTTCCATCCATGAGGGCATTGCCACTGCCATCATGAACAGTGACTGCCTGGTGTTTGACACCTCTATTGCTCAGCTGTTTGCAGAGAATGGCAACCTGGGTATCAATGTCACCATATCCATGTGCTGAGGACTAACAGCCGTGCGTACTTGAACACATACACACATACAACATGAAACCAGACATTTCAAAAGACCGCAGGATACCTTGAGTTGTGCTTGGGGGACGGGGGAGTAGCTAACCTAGGGAAATTTTTGCTGTTGTATGTTCCAAGTAGTTATAAAAAAACAAAAAAACAAAAAACTGTAATTGGTTGGAGCTTGGCACATGCAACCTGACTTTACTCCTGGGTTCTCAGTTTTATGCTACAATATTATATAAATTAAATAATTAATGTATTCTACACTTTTGAGAGCAACATTTATTGCCCTCGAAGGGATAGGAAAGCCATGTATGTGGAATGGACTTTTGCAGATGTGGCATTTGGAACAAGGGTTTGAGGAACAGCACGCAGAACTGGATGGCGGTTGGGAATATTGATCAATTTTGCGGTGGGTTTGCTCAAAAGGTGCAACCCTTAGAGCATTTCATTCTGTTTTTGTTTCCCAAGATGTTTCACATTTCAGTTCAGATAAAACACTAACGTTTAAATATTAGGTTTTGTTTTATGTCCCCCACCCCCCTCTAATTTTCCCTACCTTGAGTATGATACAGAAAGTTTTGATAATTGGTGCATGACCACTGGATTAGTTATAACATGTCCAGATTTCATTTTAGAGGTCTTGTTTGTTTCTGCCTATCATTGCAGTGTTTCTCCTGTTTGTTTTTGAAGGGATAGTTTCATAACTTGGCACACGCACATCAAGCCAGGTTATAAAAAGTCTTTTTTTTTTTTTTAAATCAATGCCACGCTTCTTTTGTTGTATCAAAAACTCTTTAACGGCTAGATTTCAGATAGATCATACGTTTTGTTTCCTGAGATGGGCGCCCTCCATTACAAACAATGGAGTAAGCACTGCACTGAATATCAGGCTTGGAACAGGGGCAATTATTACAGTTATTATAATGATATTGTCATAATTATCATTTTGCAATGACTTATAAGAAAATGGAATGAAAAGGCTGTTGTAACATTGTGGCTAATCTTCAGTGTTTGTAGATAGTGTTGTTCTTCAGAAGACCTAAATGTCTTCTTTTTCTCTTTTTGTAAGTCAATATTTTTGTTGCTATTCTTTGTATGTCTGTATTTCTGTTGTGTTTTTTTTTTTGTTTTTGTTTTTTTTGCAAGGATAGGGTGAAGCAAAGCCAAACATCTCTGTGGATACATTGTACTGTTGCTAGTCCTGATCTCTAATTTTATTTGTTTTGTTTTGTTCTATTTTGCCAGTAAATAAATCTATCTTTTTCATACCCATTTTCTCACTCCTCATTCTAAACTACAGCTGATGGGGATGGCTTTATTTGCTTCCCCCTTCTCCTAATAGGTGAGAATGTGTGAAGCAAACAAGTGCTCTGCCAAATAGATTTTGTCATAATTTGGGAACAAACCTTAGAAACATTTCAACTGTAAGTGCAGTGTTTTAATAGCCTCGCTAACATCAGACCACGTCTCATTGACATTGAGACTTGGGTCCATTTATTGGGTGCTACGAATGTCTCTCAAATGCGCCTGTACGTTGCTCATAGCCAATCATTTCAATTATACCAGATGACGTATGTGGAACGACAGAAATTAGACGAGGAAGAAGACAATGAGTCAGAGATTTGTGTACACGATGGCGTATGTATCTAAGGCTGCATCGAAAGGTAACTTCGCATCTGCTGCCATGTTTGATCCATAGGTATAAACAAACTGCTTTGGTGTGTCGCATAGACGTCGTCATCGTCTTGCTTCTCCCTCCCCGTTCTGTGATTGGTCCCTTCACTGAGGCAAATCTGGTCCATGGTATCCAGACTACCTAGCAGCGTGAATAAAAATGTGCCCAGGCTAGTGTTTTAGTGTAAATATTTTAGACTGATTTAAACCTTTCTTTTTGTTCAAAAATATTGTTTGTTTTTTTTTTTTTGTTATGCAATGCTTCATGAAACTGCTTACATTACATCAACCCAAAACACCCCTACCTTGGAATTCGCAATTCAAGAGTCGATGTCTCTATCATAGCGGAAGCGAAGGTAGGTTTGTTTTTGTTTGATTTTTGTTAACTTTTTTTTTTGTTTAATTTCAATGTTGTTTAATCTGCACTAGGTGGTACGTTACTTAGAACTTTAAGGAGAATTTTGAAATCTTAATGGAGAAAATATACTCTATGTTTCCTCTTATATGGTTCTACAGAATTAATGATAAGTATTGTGCTCTTGCTTTAGATGTTTTGGTAATAACATGAACTTCCTGGTTGGATTTTCCTTTAATGTCAAATGCTAAAATGTTTAATTTCTCTATTGCTAATATCATCATTTGGAGTTGCAAAATGATTCTCAGATTTGTGCAACATTTCTGTCTTCCATTGGCTGGAAACACATGGACAAACATAGTCCAACCCAAACTAATGCCATTGGTTACGGTAATGCTAGTCAGAATGCAGCATTTATCCTTTTTGGGGAGATCAACCAACAAATAGCCTATAGCTGTGTCTACACACTTTAGCTTAAAAACAGGTTATGTTTCAAGAACAAAGTGTATGGGAAATAGGCTTCTCACAAATCTCTATGCTTTGTGGAACTTACTGACTTGTGTGAAAGTGGTTAGTACACATCTTTTGATATTTCCAAACATGTTTTCTGTTTTCAGGACAGAGCTGTCATGCAGGTATTACAGACATTGAGAACAAGAATGTATTAACCGTTTAGAACTCCCAAACACAGTAAAATGTCAGCATTGTTTGCAGTATAGCATAGCAAATTATCATGTGCATGACAGCTACAAACACGGCAATACTATAATAATATTTGTCAATTAATCACTTCTACAGCATTTCATCTGTTCTGGTAGAACAGACTAGTGCACTGCTACACTGGTGATTTATTTATTTATTTATTTAGTATTTTTTTTTTTTTTTTAATTATCCATGTAAAATGATGGAAAGCTATGAAATCATATTTGTTAATTTGGGCCATATTCACAAAACATCTTAAAGCAACACCACGTAACTTTTCCTCAGTGAATTGTCCATTACTGCTGTCGTAAAAAATGTAGGGGTACCCCTGTCGTTTTTTTCGGTGCGAAAAAAAAAGTTACTCCAATCTTCTTGAAACTCTGGATTCTGATAGAGGGCCATGGGACTTAGACCTGAGTGCAAAAATGGAGGCTCTAGACCCTTCCAGAGCTGAGATATTGAGATATTTATAATGGCATAAATGCTACATGGGATCTCAATATCTCAGCTCTGGAAGGGTCTAGAGCCTCCATTTTTGCACTCAGGTCTATGTCTCATGGCCGTCTATCAGAATCCAGAGTTTTGAGAAGATTGGAGAAACGTAATTTTTCGCCAGAAAAAAAAACGAAAGGGGTACCACTGTCGTTTTTTTTTCGGGTCGAATTTTTGAGTTTCGATATCTCAGCTCTGGAAGGGTCTAGAGCCTCCATTTTTGCACTCAGGTCTATGTCTCATGGCCCTCTATCAGAATCCAGAGTTTTGAGAAGATTGGAGAAACTTAAATTTTCGCCCAAAAAAAAAAAAACGAAAGGGGTAACACTGTCGTTTTTTTTCGGGTCGAATTTTTTGAGTTTCGATATCTCAGCTCTGGAAGGGTCTAGATCTCCATTTTTGCACTCAGGTCAAAGTCTCATGGCCCTCTATCAGAATCCAGAGTTTTGAGAAGATTGGAGAAACTTAATTTTTCGCCGAAAAAAAAAAAACGAAAGGGTAACACTGTCATTTTTTTTTCAGGGTCGAATTTTTGAGTTTCGATATCTCAGCTCTGGAAGGGTCTAGAGCCTCCATTTTTGCACTCAGGTCAAAGTCTCATGGCCCTCTATCAGAATCCAGAGTTTTGAGAAGATTGGAGAAACTTAATTTTTCGCCCGAAAAAAAAAAAAAACGAAAGGGGTAACACTGTCGTTTTTTTTTTTCCGGTCGAAATTTTGAATTTTGATATCTCAGCTCTGGAAGGGTCTAGATCATCCATTTTTGCACTCAGGTCAAAGTCTCACAGCCCTCTATCATAATCCAGAGTTTTGAGAAGATTGGAGAAACTTAATTTTTCGCCCAAAAATGAAAAAAACGAAAGGGTAACACTGTCGTTTTTTTTTCGGGTCGAAATTTGAATTTTGATATCTCAGCTCTGGAAGGGTCTAGAGCCTCCATTTTTGCACTCAGGTCAAAGTCTCAGGCCTTCTATCATAATCCAGAGTTTTGAGAAGATTGGAGAAACTTAATTTTTCGCCCAAAAATGAAAAAAAACGAAAGGGGTAACACTGTCGTTTTTTTTTTCGGGTCGAAATTTTGAATTTGATATCTCAGCTCTGGAAGGGTCTAGAGCCTCCATTTTTGCACTCAGGTCAAAGTCTCACAGCCCTCTATCATAATCCAGAGTTTTGAGAAGATTGGAGAAACTTAATTTTTCGCCCAAAAAGAAAAAAACGAAAGGGGTAACACTGTCGTTTTTTTTTCGGGTCGAAATTTTGAATTTTGATATCTCAGCTCTGGAAGGGTCTAGAGCGCCATTTTTGCACTCAGGTCAAAGTCTCACAGCCCTCTATCATAATCCAGAGTTTTGAGAAGATTGGAGAAACTTAATTTTTCGCCCAAAAATGAAAAAAAACGAAAGGGGTAACACTGTCGTTTTTTTTTTCGGGTCGAAATTTTGAATTTTGATATCTCAGCTCTGGAAGGGTCTAGATCCTCCATTTTTGCACTCAGGTCATAAGTCTCACAGCCCTCTATCATAATCCAGAGTTTTGAGAAGATTGGAGAAACTTAATTTTCGCCCAAAAATGAAAAAAAACGAAAGGGGTAACACTGTCGTTTTTTTTCGGGTCGAAATTTTGAATTTGATATCTCAGCTCTGGAAGGGTCTAGAGCCTCCATTTTTGCACTCAGGTCAAAGTCTGGCCTTCTATCATAATCCAGAGTTTTGAGAAGATTGGAGAAACTTAATTTTTCGCCCAAAAATGAAAAAAAACGAAAGGGGTAACACTGTCGTTTTTTTTTCGGGTCGAAATTTTGAATTTTGATATCTCAGCTCTGGAAGGGTCTAGAGCCTCCATTTTTTGCACTCAGGTCAAAGTCTCACAGCCTCTATCATAATCCAGAGTTTTGAGAAGATTGGAGAAACTTAATTTTTCGCCCAAAATGAAAAAAAAACGAAAGGGGTAACACTGTCGTTTTTTTTTCGGGTCGAAATTTTGAATTTTGATATCTCAGCTCTGGAAGGGTCTAGAGCCTCCATTTTTGCACTCAGGTCAAAGTCTCACAGCCCTCTATCATAATCCAGAGTTTTGAGAAGATTGGAGAAACTTAATTTTTCGCCAAAAATGAAAAAAAAGAAAGGGGTAACACTGTCGTTTTTTTTTCGGGTCGAAATTTTGAATTTTGATATCTCAGCTCTGGAAGGGTCTAGAGCTCCATTTTTGCACTCAGGTCAAAGTCTCGTGGCCTCTATCAGAATCCAGAGTTTTGAGAAGATTGGAGAAACTTAATTTTTCGCCCAAAAATGAAAAAAAACGAAAGGGGTAACACTGTCGTTTTTTTTTCGGGTCGAAATTTTGAATTTTGATATCTCAGCTCTGGAAGGGTCTAGAGCCTCCATTTTTGCACTCAGGTCTAAGTCTCACAGCCCTCTATCATAATCCAGAGTTTTGAGAAGATTGGAGAAACTTAATTTTTCGCCAAAAATGAAAAAAAACGAAAGGGGTAACACTGTCGTTTTTTTTTTTCGGGTCGAAATTTTGAATTTTGATATCTCAGCTCTGGAAGGGTCTAGATCATCCATTTTTGCACTCAGGTCTAAGTCTCACAGCCCTCTATCATAATCCAGAGTTTTGAGAAGATTGGAGAAACTTAATTTTTCGCCCAAAAATGAAAAAAAACGAAAGGGGTAACACTGTCGTTTTTTTTTCGGGTCGAAATTTTGAATTTTGATATCTCAGCTCTGGAAGGGTCTAGATCATCCATTTTTGCACTCAGGTCAAGTCTCACAGCCCTCTATCATAATCCAGAGTTTTGAGAAGATTGGAGAAACTTAATTTTTCGCCCAAAAATGAAAAAAACGAAAGGGGTAACACTGTCGTTTTTTTTTTTCGGGTCGAAATTTTGAATTTTGATATCTCAGCTCTGGAAGGGTCTAGATCATCCATTTTTGCACTCAGGTCTAAGTCTCACAGCCCTCTATCAGAATCCAGAGTTTTGAGAAGATTGGAGAAACTTAATTTTTCGCCCAAAAATGAAAAAAAACGAAAGGGGTAACACTGT